ATTTTGCACATTTTTTTTTAAGTTTCATATGTGAGTCTTGTTATTTTCATAGAGATTGTAATGTTGTGCATCTCATATTTGGTGGGTCTACACGATCCAATTCTGAGACCCGTTGGGTCAGGATGGGTCCGAATTTTCAGTTCTATCGGGTATACGGGTTCGGATCGATCCTACATTAACTTAATTAGCGAGTCCTAGTATGGAACGCTACATTTCGGCTCGAACCCGGCCCACTGATAGGTCTAGGTTAGTGTGAGGATAACGTTTTAAGATTTTTTCAATTGAATTGATTTTTTTGTCTACTATAATCTGTTTAATTATATCCCGATCTGATTTAAACATGTCCATTGGACGTTTTTTATGCATATTTAACAATTTTCAAAATTTGGTCTGATCTATTTTGATTTGTGTAGGTTTAGTCAGGTCTGATCTGGTTACGTTCGATCATGTCTATTATTGTTTGGATCCAATCTGGGACTGAAATAAGTTCAAGTAAACACATCCTAAATACAGATTTCTCTTGACTAATGAATCTTTAATTATTTAATTAATAGAGGTGTTGATTTGTTCTAAAAAAGATTGAACATCTTTCACTGAACATGGATTTATGTAGCACCTTCTTTAAACAACCGAAATCTGATTTACAAAATTAGAATATTTTGAGTTACGGCCTTCAGTTTCAGGTCAGATCAGACTGAACATAAATAGATCAAATCTGATCAGATTATACTAGACTTTGATTATTATAAAATACACAGAGATCAAGATTTACTAGGCAGATCACATCAGAATTAAACAAATAAGACAAAATCAAATTACACTAGAAAATTTCAATCCAAATAAAAATACCTTTAGATTAGATAAGACTATATTCCTATTGTTCCATTTCTCCTGTAAGCGTCCAAACTCAAGTGTTTATACTTTATAGATTACGTTTTAGTAAGCCACACTTCTTGAGGTTATTTAAACCCCTGAGATTATTCCATAATTATTAATGCAACTTTGCATTTTTAAAAATCAATTAGTTACCCCCTCAATTTTTGTCGGCATTTGAAGAGGTGAAGTGGTGTAAATGATTGAAGTCAGAGCTTAAACCCTTTGATAAATATTAAGCTTGACATTAATTGTTTGGTGGTCTTGCGAGAGATGGCGAGAGATTTGAAGATATAGTCGACCCTAAAAGGCCAAAATACTTCCACCCATGATAACATTGCAATCAACGATCTCGAACCCCGCTCAAATCTCACAATTATTATCCTAATAAAAAAGTATGACATATCAATAAGATTTAAAGTAAAAATAGACCATAAGAATGCAGGTGATCAAATCCAACCGTGAAGCGTCGATTTATGGTCCCTCATTCTGCATGTCGTTTCCAGGTGGCAGTTTAAAAGGGCAACGGATTGTCAATGTTTTTGTCTTCCTTGTTCATCTTGTCATCCCTACCCGTCTCCAATCTCCATCCTCTTCATATCCCTTGCATCACCACTCATCATGGCTGGAACAGAGTTGCCTTTGTTTCTGCCGGCCAAATTTTGCATCTCACTTGTTAAATCGCTTACATCTCCCTGCTGCTCTCTAACAAAATAGACATCAACGATTTTGCGCAGCTCCAAAACTCTAGACGGCCTTGTGTGGCATCAAAAAGTCTAACACGCGAGAGGCGTCTTCTTCCGCTTTCCCAACAAGGGTTTGGTGAATCTAACATTTAAATAAAAGTTTATTGTGCTATTAAAATACATTTATATTCTCACTTTTATTATCCTTTTTTTTTTACTTCTTACAAACTACTCCATCCGTTCTTTAATAATTGTGTCGTATTTCTTTTTGGGATGTTCTTTATAGCTTGAATCTCTTTCCTCGTTTAGTAAGTTTTTCCTATCAAAATATCTTTATACCCTCACTTTTATTACTTTTACCATTTTTACTTTGAGAAATTAATCATGCATATTACTAATCATGCATATTACTAAAACATGATGTAGTTCCCATTATATGACTAGTTGAATATATATCCCAATCTATGACCGCACATGATGACCTCCATGCACGTGGGTTGTAAGTTTTATTTTATTCCCAATAGTGCCCTCCTATTTAATTAATGAGTTGCTATTTTTAATCCTAAAATAAAATGAAAGGTTGGCCAAGCAAAGTCACGTAGGTCCCAGGGTCTGTTTGCAACAGCTTCTGCTTTTAAAAAAGAGCTTTTTTTAATGAAATGAGGAGAAGTGATAAAATAAAAGTTGATAGTGTTTGAGAAAAATTAAAACGATTTTGAAAAGTAAAAGTGGGTAGTGTTTGGTAAAATAAGTGCTTTTTGTGTAACAGAAAAAGTAAAAGCACTTTTGACGCGGAAGCCGAGAAAATAAGTGCAAACAGACCAACCCTCAATCACGTATCAAATGTTGGGAAAATAAGTGCTTTTTTAAAGCCAAAAGCTGAGAAGTGCTTTTTTAAAAGTAGTTGCAAACCAACCCTCAATCACGTATCAAATGTAACCGCTTTGAGCATAACAGGCGGATTAATAATGATATCTCCTAAAAATAAGGAAACAATCAATAGGAAAATTAATAGAAGGTAAGTTTTTTCATTATTATTTATTTGTATCCTTATCATACATGTTCTTTTTCACCGAATGTAACTCTTCTTTTTTCTTCACTGACTCACCTCTACCATTTCACGGCCAATCTTTACCGAAGCATTATCCATGGTGTCCGTCGTCGTAGGTTACACGAAAATGTGGATTATGATTAAATATGATGGCCAATGGGTCTCAAATACTTCGTTCTCTAGTATTCATGTTGCCGGCTTAACTATATCATCAGATTGTACGTATAAATCTCTATATTATCGTGTTTGCGCTGCTATGGCCTGGGTGATAATTATGTCGGGAAGAATATTAAGATCTCATACATTTTTGCTGTGTGCCCACCGCGTATCCGATATGTATCCGACTCAAATACTCATCGATACACGTCATGTACGTATTGGGTCTGTATCCATAATTTAATAAAAGTATCATGCTTATTTTTCAAAATATTGATACTTCTGATACCCGCATCTGTGAACCGATACACGTATCTGACCCCATAACCCTCATTTCATACATGACATAACGAAAACTTAGTAGCCGCTCAAGCAACCACAAGATGTGGAACATTGATAAAGATGATTTCGGGAGTATGGAAAATATTGAAATACTGTAACTTGTCATTTTATCGCTTGATGAGCTTTAATTGAAACAAGACTTAAATGTAATTGCAAATAGAGAACAAAAAATATTATTTGAATTTAAATTGAAATATCAGTACTTTAGTTTTTGTAGCTTAATTTTTGATTTTTTTTAATAATAGTGATGGAAGTAAATCCACCGGAAAATAATTAATAAGAGATAGCCGAAAATAATTAAAGTGCTCAGGATAATCTTTAGAGAGATAAATGTATGTAGTGTATTCAGTGTATTGAGCTTGATCAACATTCCAAGGATTACATGATTTTATAGTAGAAAATGAGACATAAAAGATTTGGGCGACGTGGTCGCCATGTTCGATTTGATATGCAAATCAGTAATCCGGATCCGCGGGATCCTTTGTTGATTCACTTGATTGTGTGAATATCTTGAAAAGACGTCATTGATGTAGTTTGTCCGTACGGAGTCACCATGTAGGCATAACGTCCAAAGACACCATGCATATGTTATTTGGATAAGCTTCTACTACTATGTACAGGGTCATTGTGGGCGCTCCTCTGGCTAAGGTACTTGATCGCGTCCATGGTTGCTGTGGACATGCTCTCTGGATAAGCCTACCCCGACATCCACGGTCACTGTGTAGTCCCTGATCTTCTATTAACTTGCGTCCACAGTCGCCATGTACAGTATTTTATCTTCTAACCCGCGCGTGGTCACCATGTACGAGCTCTTCTTATACCTTGTCATCATCCGGGCATAGTTACCATGCACATCAACCTCTAACTGTTTTCATCCATGTTAACCCGGTCAACATTTATCCATGGTTGGGATAATTATACCATCACAAGCCCCCCACTCCTTAAGCCAAATAGCATATTGGCTATAAGGAGTGTAGACACAGTTACCGTGTCAACCTTGAGCGTACATGGTCACCATAGCCGAATAGTATATTGGCGATAAGGATTGTAGATAATGGTTGCCATGTCAATCTGAAGTGTACATGGTTACCATGCCAATATTTTTGTCTTTTTACTTGTTCAATCATTTAAAATTTTATCTTTTAATCAAAATTTATAATCCCAACTTTACTTTCTTCCTGGCAGCTTGGTTGGGTGAGGGTCAGCCACCGGCCACCACCATTCTTGTACCGCCCAGGTCGCAGCTCGCCGGCAACCAGGACAGCGCCGTCCGCTGCTCGCCGGCGTCCATCCGCGCCACCAGCAAGCCCACTCAGAGTTCCCGTCAGCCACCGCCCTTTTCAACCTCCGACGGCTGCCGCGAGTAAACCGAACACCTCAACTTCACCAGCGTGGACCCTGTAGCGCCGGACGCCAGATTTTGCAGCTGAACCAGCAGTGTCGTCGGTTATCCCCGCCCCAGGTTGCGGTCCGTTTTTCTGCTACGCCCTATCCCGGTCGCCGCCATCAGTCCTCCGTCGTCAGACACCAGCGAACTCCAGTGACATCAAGGAATTTTACGCCGTCGTCGTCTACTTCCTGCGGCGTCGTTGTTCTGCACTAGGTTCCTCTGCCGTTGTCCTGGATTTTCCGCCGTTGCTGTTAAGGTACGCACAGAGGTACGCTCCCTGCATTCTCCCTCTTTCCTTTTATTTGTTATTTTGACTTTTCCTTTTTAAAGCTTCTCCGTATTAATTTTGGCTTTGAAACATACTACGTACTTCGTAGTTCGTACTTCGTAGCTCCTTTGTTCCGTGAAACACACTTCTCCGTGAAACACTTGGGATTGAACTGTCCCTAGACCTCTTCAAGCATATGTTCCGAGCTGGGCAGTGCTCAGCATCTGATAGTCTGTCCTGGGTGTCTATCTCTCAGCGCAGCCACTTTGACATGTGGAAGGTCACTCGTAGCAACGAAGCCAATTGGAAAGAAGAATTTGTCTATGTGTCGTCTGGATCTCCGTTACCCTTCTCATTGTCTTTGAATTGTCGATTTAAGAAGTATTCATACCCGAAACTTCCGGTTGACCAGGAGACATGGCCGGCTATGATTCTTTCTGGAGGACCGTATAGCCTCTCTGCCTTTACTTCTGAGGACCGCCTACCCACGGTTGGACTCTATTCGCCGTCACCATGTTCGGGTGCACACGCATCCACACCCACGGATCAAGGTCGTCCACAGTTACCTTGTCTATAGGAGATAATACACGCATATATATTAACTAACACATATGCATACCTTTTTTTTTCTTTTTTGCAGACATGACATCGCGGCTGGAGATGTTCCAAAGCTTCGACAAGGATGGACCTCGCGGTAGTGACCAGGGGCGCTCTGACAAGAAACCAAGGGCTCCCTCCGTCACCAAAGGCAAGGACGTTATCGTAACCATGCCTTCATCCGTGGCGAAACGCAAGGCTCCTAGTACCGCAGCCCGCATCACCCGGAGCATGAGTGACATTCCCATTACGGGGATGACTACTTGGTTACGAGGTAACATTGAGTTGCCCCCGCTTTTATCACTGACAATCCCGGCGACTGAGAAGGAGCAAATTTTAGCACTTGACAACGTTGCTCTAGAGAGGAGGAGTCACCATGGCCTGGCAGAGGTAACGTTCCCATTTCCCTGTCACTTTTTATCTATACATCTCGTGATACTAATTTTTACCTTTTGTTTTGTAGCTACTGACATCCATCTCCGAGGTGAACCGAAGGAAGGACGAGCGCGAGCAAGAGTTGTTGCTACAACTTACCGAACTGGCAAAAGAGGTGGCCTCGCTCAAACTTATTCGTGATTCACATGCAGCCGAGGTCGCGACGCTCAAAGACATGCACGCCGTGGAGTTGGCGAATGAAAGAGGTCGGGCCGTGGATGCATACAAGAATTCTTCAGAGTTTGTGTCTGATCGGGAAGCTTACATCAGTGCCCACCTCGGTGACATTAGCAAGCGTTGGTTGTCTACTCCGGATGGCCAAGAGAAACTGGCTTTAGAGAGCTACATCTCCTACCAGATCGGGATATATGCCACTCAACAAAAAATATATCTTATCCTGAGGAATAAGGCTGGTACCTCTTGCATCACTGATTGGGGACTTCCTCCTGAGGTTCCCAACCCTGAGATCCCGGTAGCCAACACGCCCCTGGACTACATTCCCTTTGACAGACTCCCCACTGATGAGGAGCTTGGCGATCTCCCTTCCGAGACAGATCACCCAGCTTCGATCGCTTCTGTACCTTAGAGCATGCATGGGAGTGACGGATGGACGTAGTGTAGACTTTTAATTTCGTCATGTCTTCCATCATGAGTGCCTGTATTGCTAAACATGTTTTTAATTTCATGAAATAATAATGACGCATGTCTTATTTTTCCTTTCGTTATTGTTTAATATTATCGCATAATCCATTATTTGACTAATATTTTGATTTTATGAGATCACACTGCGACCATGCCTCGTTTGGAACGGTTTGCATGATCACTTATAGTAGTATACGGTGATACTACACCAAGTGTAAAACTTTGGTGCATTTATCACCCCATATCTGTCTAATTTTGAATTGAGGCATTTTGTATTTATATAGAGTGACTAAGGACAACGATAGGCACAAGGTGTCGTTGACACCTCCTCCTTCGCTACATTGCGCGCATCACTTAGCCCCAAAAAGTAGGACTAAGTGAGCGAACCTAACACTTGAGTGACCTAGGCTTGCTCTGGGGCACACAACGTTTTTTGGGAAACATGGCCGCTATCCGATAAATTTCACAGATGCATCCTGACCATACAACCCTGAGGGTTACGCATTTTTTGGGATCGATTTGCGATGTATCCTCGTCCCCTTTCTAGGGGCGAGTCTATACCCCTTGCGTGTTGAGAATTTCAGCTATGTCATAGGAGACATGCCTGGCTACTTACTAGTTTTTTATTTCAATTTTTTTTTTGTTTTGGGTGAGTTTTACACCCACGGTGTCCTTGGATGACACCTTGTAATTTGTCTCTGTTTTGGGTGAGTTTGACACCCACGGTGTCCTTGGACGACACCATGTTTTTTTTTTTTTTGCGGCCAGGGACTGCCATTATTCGCTTGGGGATAGGCAACTGACGCATTGCTGTGTTTGATCCCCCAACTCTCACAGAATTCGTTAAACCCGGATGCTCCGAATTGCCTCCCATTATCGGTTATGATCTGTTGGGGTACTCCAAAGCGACAAAGGATGTGCTTCATGACAAATTTTCTGCATTGCCCTTCAGTGATGCTAGCTAGGGGTACTGCTTCTATCCATTTAGTAAAATAGTCTATGGCAACGATAACCCATCTCACGCTCCTTGTTCCCCTTGGTAAGGCACCAATGAGATCTATCCCCCACCTTGCGAAAGGTATAGCCGTGCTGATGGGGGTGTAGTTGGTGGCTGGACGTCCCGGAGATTTCTGGAACTCTTGACACACCACACACCTCTTGACAAATTCAGCGCAATCCTTAACTATGGTTGGCCAGAAGAAACCTTGTAGGATTACCTTTCGGGACATGGTGTGTGCTCCTTGGTGAGCTGAGCATATCCCTGCATGTATCTCTTCCATGGCAACCTTGGCTTCATCTGGTCATAAGCACTTGAGAAGCGTGCCATTGTAAGACCTCTTGTACAGTTTCTCATTCAAAATTGTATAACTCGGCGCCCTCATCTTAGTCACCTTGGCTTCAACCTCCTCCGCGGGCAGCACTCCCTCGTTGATATACTTGATGAGGGAGTCAATCCAGTCCGCGTCCCTCGTGGTTATGGCCTGGACAGGGCATGCATATATGCTGGAAGTGTCCAACTCTTCTATCCTTGCAATCTTTGAAATCCTTTCCGGTGTCTCTGCACTTAATTTGGATAACATGTCTGCTTCGACATTTTGCGCTCTTGGTATCTGTTCAATTTCATAGGCGATGAACAATTTCAGAAGTTCCAGGGCAGCGTCACGATATAGCCGCATCCGTTCTTCCTTCGCCTCAAACTCAGTCGTGATCTGTCCAACCACTAGTTTTGAATCACACCGTATCTTGACCTTCTCCGCCCTCATGTTCGCCGCCAAGCATAGGCCACATAGTAGAGCCTCGTACTCTGCTTCATTATTCGACACCTTGAAGTTGAACCGGATAGCGTAATAGGCCCTGAAGCCTTCGGGCGTGGTGAGGACCACCCCTCCCCCGCAAGATTTGGCCGCGGAGGAGCCATCCGTGGACAATATCCACCACTCTTGTTCATCGTCGCCATGCTTCATCTTCGTTGCTTCCTCCCGCGCTGTGCATTCTACTATGAAATCTGCTAGAGCTTGCCCCTTGATGGAAGGTCTTGGCTTCACCTCTATATGAAATTGACTTAGATACACTGCCCATTTGACCATCCTCGAGGAAGCCGTGGGACTTCTCATTAAGGCACCCAGGGGTTGGTGTGACAGTACATGGACAGGGTGAGCTTGGAAGTATTGTGTTAGCCGTTTGACCGTCCACACCACGGATAGAACAGTTTTTTCTATGGTTGTGTACCGTAGCTCAGCGTCCCTCAAAGTTTTGCTTACGTAGTAAACGGGTCTCTGGACGCCATCATCTTCACGCACCAGGACAGAACTAATTGCACTTGGTGAAACCCCTAGGTATAGGTATAATGTCTCCCCCGCCTCAGGTTTGGACAAGACAGGAGGAGACAAGAGGTAGTTTTTCAATCCCTCGAATGACTTTTGGCACTCCTCAGTCCATACGAAACCCTTTGATTTCTTCATGATGTGGAAGAATGGCGTGGCTTTCTCTGCTAGTTTTGATAAGAAGCGGTTCAAAGCCGCTAAGCGTCCCGTCAATCGCTGTACTTCTTTGACATTACGAGGAGGTTCCATTTTGAGAATGGCCTTGACTTTCTCCGGATTTGGCTCGATTCCTCTTCTGCTTACCAAGTAACCCAGGAACTTCCCTCCCTGCACGGCGAACGTGCACTTCTTTGGATTGAGACGAAGATTGAACTTCTCCATGATTTTGAACACCTCTGCCAAATCCACGGCATGCGTACCTGCTCTTTTACTCTTCACAATCATATCATCCACGTAGGCCTCCATGGTGCGGCCTAGGACAGGTCGAAAAAGTTTAGAGATCATGCGAGTGTATGTTGCCCCAGAGTTTTTCAGTCCAAACGCCATGACTAAGTAACAGAAAACACCCTCTGGAGTCATGAATGAGGTTTTCTCCGCATCCTCCTCATGCATGCGAATTTGGTGGTATCCACTGAAAGCATCCATGAAACTCATCAACTCGCACCCTGCTGTCTCGTCCACCAATTGGTCGATGTTAGGCAATGGGAATGGATCCATCGGGCATGCCTTGTTTAGGTCAGTGTAATCCACACACATCCTCCACGTTGGGGGTTTAGGTGCCAATACCACATTTGCCAACCATTCTGGGTATTTTACCTCCTTGATGTGGCCGATTTTTAACAAGGTGCCCACTTCTTTCCTTACGAATTCCCGCCTGTCCGAGGACATGTAACGTTTCTTTTGTTTCACCGGATTTGACATAGTGTTCACATCTAGGCGATGAGAGATGACATCTCTACTGATGCCCGGCATGTCCTCTGGTCCTCTTGCAAATATGCCTTGGTACATAGTCAGGACGGTTATGACCTCAGCGCGGAGCTCAGCTGACAATCCGGTGCCTATCTTAACCTTGCGCTCTGGGGTTGCAGGGTCAAGGGTGACCTCTTCTGTCCCTTCTGCTGGTTCAGCACGGGGTCTTCGCTCTTCATCTTGTAGGTATTGTGTGGCCACAGTGTTTACCTGGAGGCCATGCCGCCCCACCTTCTTTGTGATTTTTATGTAGCATGTTCGGGCGAGCTTCTGGCTCCCGCGTGCTATCCCCACTCCGGTTGGTGTTGGGAACTTAATACAAAGATGTGCCGGGGACACAATGCACTGCAAATCTTCCAGGCCTGGCCGTCCGAGTATGAGATTATGTGCACATGTCAGTCGGACAACTACGAACTCCATGTTGAGTTTCACTTTATGGGACGTGTCCCCCACCTCCACCGGGACCGTGACAACTCCCTCTGCCTCGATAGAGTCACCCGTGAACCCAGATAATGGGGTTTTTATCGGATGGAGTTTTCCTTTGGACAACTTCAGTTTCTCGAAAGTGTCGAGGTACATTATGTTAACGGAACTTCCAGTGTCGACCAGGGTACGGTGTATGACAAGATCATTGATCTCCATTTTGATAACCATGGCATCCCGATGTGGGCTTGGACATGGTGGTAGGTCATCATCAGTAAAGCATATAGGTTCACGTCGTACCTTCTTTTTCATTGGAGAGTGCATGATCTCACCAATGTACAGTTGACGAGCCCATTTCTTTCGAAGGGACGAAGAGTCCCCGCCTGCATTACCTCCATAAATGAAATTGATGTCATGGTTCCTCTTGTCTCGCTTCGGCCCTGGCTCATCCGAGGCATCCTCGTCACTCTCATTTCCAATGTGTCTTTTCTCTACCCTTCGGGTCTCCGGCTGCGTGCATGCCACTTGTTCTGATGATTTCCGCCATACATGGTTGGGCTGCTGTGCAGCCCCTTTGACGAAGTTACTCAGATGGCCCCTTTGGATCAGTCTTTCAATCTCGCGTTTCAAGGTAAAGCACTCCTCCGTGTCGTGATTATCAACCCGGTGATAGCGGCAATACTTTTTAGCACCAGAGACAGTGTACACTTCACCCTCCGGCCTCGGTCCTTGCATGAGACCCGTACGCTCGGCATAATCCAAGATCGTACCCACAGGATGAGTTAGGGGCATCGAGCTTGTATTAGGAATCTGCCTTGGACCATAATTGAAATCTTTCTTGTTTTTCTTTTGTTTTTTGTGGTGAGGGACAGTCCCCTCCCTCCAAGGTTCCGATGACTCGTCCTTTTTCTTTTGCACCTCTCGGATCTCCGCATCGGCGTATCGGTCAGCTCTTTGAAGGGCGGCCTGGTACGACCTTGGCGGGTCCCAGATGAGACTTGAGGCGAACTCCCCAGCCCGCAACGCTGCCTGGAACATGGCAAGGCGAGTTTGGTCG